TGGTGTCGCCTTGGGCACCCCTTCTTCCCATGGAAGCACCTGGTAAAACGCGTTCCTCGCTCACTATTGACGGGGGACTAGCTGGAGGAGAAAGGCGCGTCGCGTTCGCACATTGTTCACTGATAGGCGCGTGGCTAATTTACTTATACGTACGTGGCTTTGGAAGTCTTCCTAGTTAGGAAGCACATGGCGGCAGACACCGGCTGTGTGTGAGAGAGGGTCGGGAGAGGAGGCAGTTGGCGTTACTTAGATAAAAGAGAAAAATTTAGCGGACTTTGGTCCCGAGAAGCTCTTGCTTTCTGTCCTCGCAGCTGTCTTGTAGTGTGCGAGAAGTGCACACAAGGCCAACACGACGAGTGGTCGGCGTTCCTTTGTCGTGAAAAGTACTCTGGGTCGACTTACCCCTCGAAATCCAGACCTGCTTGGCGCATTTGTGCGATACGTCTATCTAGCGCATTACCCCCGTTTACATGGTCGTGATTCGCCAGTTGTCGCATTCGTATAAACGCTGTGCGTGCCGTGCCGGCTTACGGCAAACTGTCGACGCCCGGCTATACGCAAACGTGCTTTCTTATCGAGGAAAGACGAACTGGACCCCACTCCCAACAACCGTGGAGACGGCGTGCCAGCCTCTTGTTGAATGAAATTAGTTAGTCGCACCAGCTGGCAGCCGACTGACTGGCAGTTGCCTCGAGCTGTCAGGCTGTAATCAATTTTACACGAATGCCAGAGTAGCCCATCGACTTTGCAAGCGCGTTTCGGAAAGGTGATGCGACGCCGTTTGCAGGACCTCTCGTCTTCTGTACGCCGCAGCTACCATGTGGTGTCGGATTACAGCGAGCGATTATCGAATTACAGCGACTTGTAGCTGGGTGAGTTGGTTTATGTAAAAGAATTAAAAAAAAATAACTCATTAGCTTAGTCGTGCCTCGAGCATGGGAAACAGAAATTCGCACGATTTTCTGCGTCATCAACCACTATATAAATAGGTACATATTAGCGCGAGCAAAATAACAATGACTTGAGAAAGGAGTGGCAGGAGGCAGGAATATCTCGGCTCCCGACATTTCTGCTTCGTCCCACTTCTTTCTCGAGTGTTTTTGTTTTCTTGAGCTAATAATAATTCCTTATAGCGAAAGAGGGACGGTCGAAGTTCGCACAACGGGGGGCCACCATTCCCCTCATCGTGATTTACGGCCCGTGAATTGACCGGCACTCGCAAAACTGCCCATTTCCTACGCATTAGTGCAATGCGCGTTCTATTGCTTACATGAATGCGAAGCGCATGTTTCGCACTCATGTAAACGTATTTTATGCGCACCGATGTCACCACACTTTCTTATAAACTTATCCTTTTCAGAAACGTTACTGTTCTTTTCGAGCTACTAGGCGTGAGTTCAAGATCGGCTATTTCTACTCGTCAGCCTTATGACTCACGCTAACGAGTCAAGGAGCTGCTATCTTGACGCATTGACAGTTCTCTGCACGGCAGACTTCCCAATGACGAATTGTCAGCAGGTGCCGCATGCCCTTGACATTTTCTTTATTCTTTTTCTCCCCTTCCCCCTCCCCGTGTAGGGTAGCATATAAGCCTTTCCTTTGCCTTTCTCTCTCTCTCTCTCTCCTTCAGGCGAAAGCGTCGGCAAGGTGCCTTGTCGCATGGTGTTGTACACTGGCACTGAAGAAAACCAACAAGTTCCCTACTCGACGTTGCAATCCTTAGATTGAGTGGCATAAACCCTCAGTGCATAGGAAATATAGATGGGCTTCACCACTGCCGCTCCCCCACCAGACCTGCTCAGTGGGAGCATAGTCAAACGTTATCCGCCTTTCTGCCTCCCTGAAGGACCTCACTTGTCGCGGGTGCTTCAAAGCAGAAAAAAAAAAAAAAGAGCCCTGGTGCCTCATTGCTGTCCCTGCACCAAAGCACTTTCTTACACCACGCCGTGCATTCAGCAAATTTCATGCCACTTCGCTTCGTTGTTACTGGCTGAAAAATCTGCAAGATTTTCAGGCAGTAGGATGATTTTAGCCAGTTAATGCAGTGAGCAACGGAATAAATATTGCTCAGTTTTGTGGTTTATTGAAACCGATGACGAATATTCACAGCCGACTCCGAGAGAAGAGTTTGCAAGCGCCCGTGTCCCCTTAGAGCGAGCTTGCAGTGATTATGAGGAACGCCGTCATGGGGTACTCCAGAACATTGGTGTTCGCGCATTTCGGCGCTATGGAAATGTGCGCTTGTCGTATATAAAGGCGGAAAGCGAACACGCGTCCTCAACTCCTGCCGCACCATAGTTTTTCCCAGAGTAAATAAATGAAATAAATACGCAGAAGTACAAAACAGACTTCATCTCATTCCTGTAGGTGTGCCTCGTTTCGTGTTTGTGCTCTTTGTTGTGATGGGTTCATACCAACAAGCTCAGCACGTCTGAAGCTTCGTATATTTCACGGTAAAAAAAAAAAAAAAGATATTCACAAATACCTTATCCACGCACGTCTGCTCAGTTCGCTCGTATCGCTCGTTGTTCGTTTTTCTGCTTTCTTCTGACTGTCGTCGCACAGCCCTCGCTTTTCGCTATAGTCCGTGGGGGGTGAGGAGAGCGACAAAGACGTGCACACATAAAAGAGGAACTTTCCAAGAATTCGGCCTTTCTTTTCCCGTGAAGACGCTCACCCCATTCTCTCGGAGGATACTGACCACCTGTTTTCACGCTGTCCCGCGGTACCGCGCAGCCTTATGAGACTCTAGAGGGGAGGAAGGCTTACAGATGACGGTGCATGGTTTGAAGTTAGAAAAGACGTTTCCTCCTGAGGCAAAATGTTTTCGCACGCCGCATTCGGGGAGACAGGGAACCTTCAAATTCAGCGCTTTCCTTATTTCTGTTTAGGTGGCGCTAGGGGAATTTTTCGTTGTAGTGATAAGAATAATGTAGATTTCTCAATATTCCTGCAGTTCTTGTGTGCGATTCGTGTGCATAAGTATACCAGGAGACCGTAACTGTTATATTTTAGGCTATGCATGCTTAGATTTTAGCGCTATTTCAAGATAACAACGATTTCGTTGATGTTTACGGCACGATAAATTAAGACAATTTGCGAGCTTTGTTTCGCATTTCTGCTTGCTTTATTGAAAAACGCTACGTTGAGGAAATAGATCAGGGGTTCTAGTTTATCCACGTGCAAATTCAGCTAACGAACTTCAGTAGTTCTCCGCAAAAATGGGCCACGGTAGGTCTATCTAATGAGAATATAGCCCAATTTAGACCAATATAATTAAAAAGCGAGCGGGCATACATAAATAAAATTGAGGACTCAAACGGAAAATGCCATCCTCTATATACACCCAGAAAATGAATTTTCTCTAGCGAATAGGTGCGGGATAGTCCGCATCGACATTTACTAAATTTGGCTCTTTTCAAAAGCTAATCAGGAATACAGTAAAAGTGCTAGAATAATTTGCTACGTTGAGGAAATAGATAATATGTCTTAAATGTTTTGCGCAAAGAACAGTGCTGTAACTGCAGCAGATTTTTCAGAAAATGGTCACTGCTGACACACAGTCAGGCCAAACCATGTAAATAGCGCTTATTCTTGGCTCTCCCTACCCAAATGCTAAAAGCTTACTTTTTTTAATAGATATGTTTAAAATGTACAAAAATTAAGCTTTTCAATGACACATAAACCAACTATATAAGACAGGAAGAACAGCCGCCACGTCAGTTGGAAAAGTGACAAAAACGATGTGTTCGTGCCGCCGGAGTGAGACCGCCGCCTTAATGTGTGCTATTAGAAAATCTACTGAAAGTTACCTTAGACAGTAGGCTGAGGTTGCATGCTGCGTGTAGATAGGTTGCTTGGACAGCTTGAAACATGGCCTCTGCAGATATTGCAAGTCTTAGCGGCTCTAAGGTTGATGCAACATCATCAGAAGACCTGTCGGTCCATGGTTTGACGAAGCATTGTCTGATCAGGAAGAAGCGTGAATTACAAATGAAATGAATGAGTGTGGACCAAAATAAAAAAAAAAATTCGGATATTGAGAAATGAATTTTTGGCTACCGTATGATAGCCTTGTTCACAGTAATGTCGCCCAGGAAAAGGGGCTTATGTGCGTTTTAGAACATTTTAGAATGTGTCCTAAAAAGGGTGTAAGTTTGCTTCGCTTGGCCAGTTTAGGGCTCATTCATTTCTTTTGTGCTTCAGAATAGTCGCCAGCGTAGTGAGTTATGGTACCTCGACAGGGAAATATGATTGCACATGTTAAGTGTTGTGAACATCGAATCATGTGAAACTTTAATATTGAAATTTCTTTTGCCCCCAGAATTGTGCCATTCACACAGTTCTAGTGAAAACAACACTTCCTCGCGGCTTACAGCTGATGGTCCCATTTTATTCACTGAAATTTTTCTACCCAACTAGATGTCAGCACATTGTCCTAGTCATTGCTGCTTGAACAGTCTAGAAAATCAAGTGTATTACTGTTGAAAAAAACTGCTCTTTTTCGAGGGCTCATGGTTTCAGGTGTGAATGCCATCATGTCACTGGAGTGTGCTTTAACCTTTGGGTCTTTTAAAATGTGCCTCATGAAGGAAATGTGAACTGTTGTAAAACGTGAGAGCAACATGTACACTAACTGACAGGGTGCTATGAAACCAGGAGTGGGGCACTCTTCTTTGAATAGTGGCCTGTGATCAATGGGGTGGTAAGGAAATAGTTACCCTGTACTGGAGTGCCTCTTTGCCTGCCACTCCCGTGTGCTGGAGGAATTTCTTCGCTGCACAGCCTAGCTTCTTCATCTAAGCAGGGGCACTCAGCATTATGCATCCTGACCCCCTGTCAGAGTGTGGTGCCTGTGAGGAAAAAGGTAAACCGACTTTCAGTTTGAAATTTCAGTTTGAATACTTGGCAGACACAATGTCTGTGATGGTTCAAAATGATTGGTTGAGGTAGTTCGGTCAGGCTCTCTTTCGGTACACAATTCGTTTCATTTGCTGCAGTGTGAACCAGTGCACGGCTATGGCTTCCGGCGGGGTGGCTACCAGTGTCGCTGTCGGCCTGGCTTCCGGCGTCCCCGGATTGTGCGCAACCCGTACCATGGCGAGCTCATAGAGCGTGCCACGGAACACGACTACCCGCACGGGCTTTCACTGCGAGAAGATTGGCTGTGAGCGGTCTCATTGTATTTCGACCATGCTTTTTTGTGTTGCTAGCTTAACATACTTGTTTAATACAGTTGTGGCAAGCAGGATGTGATGAAACAACTAAAAGGACGCACTTGCTGAAATAAGACGTGCTCTGCGTGAAAGAATATGTATATGTTACAGGATTTGCTCAGATTTCGTAGAAGCATCAAAGTTTTAAGTGATACGACGCCAGGAATGGGAATGTCTTCAATGCATATATGTGTCTGCAGCTCTTTGTATATGAAAGAGCCAGGGACCTAAATTATCAGGGCTTGACTGTATTGGAAGAAAATACTGTGGGACAAAGTGCCTTAATTGTTTGCTACAATCTGACCAATAATTTATACAGTCAAGCCGTTTATAACAAACTTGAAGGTGGCGCACTAAGTGGTCGTTATATCAGTAGATTGTTGTATATGGACTCGCCTTTAAAATGTGCACTTAGCAACCAAACCTTTTTTTGTGTATTTTATTAAAAATTTTAGTCACCCCTTCAGTGACATGTTGGGCTTTTCTGCATGACACTCGTGTGCTCACAAGTAAATTAAACCACGTTCGCAATGAACTCAAGCTATCCTACCGAAGTGTGGCACACAAGGAACTGCTTATAACTTAAGTCGCTGAAGTTGGAATATCCACGGTACCAACCTATAACCAAAAGAACATTTTTTATAGGCTGCACTTGCGCAAAACATGCTAAACATGCTGCCTCATTTGTTTATCAGTTGCATCAAGGCATGCGATGCAGGGTGCTCGCAAACATGCAAAATTTCAAATGTTCAAAATTAACGTTTAAATACTCACATAGCTAATGAAATAAATGTGGGAAAGAAACTATCAAGAAAGTACTATCACGGAAATTTGTCTACTACGTTTCAGACCACCTCGATTATACGCATTACGCAGAAACTGTGTCAAATCACGACCAAAGTTTTGTGTGCTGAATTGTGCCAATTGTTTCATTTTACAAGTGTGCCCCCTTTGTCCATGCCTCCCTTTTCATTAACAATATAATTTCATATTCTTCAAGTGGAGCCATTGCAAAAAAGTTTGGGGATTCCGTAGAAAATCGCAACTTTGATTGTCCATGACCAGTAACGAAAAGCGACCAATGTTGCTTAGGCAATATTGGCCTAGCCTGCGGTTAGGCATGTTGTCGTGGGAAGTTTGTGCAAAACAAAGTGAAGATCAAGCATCAAGTGAGCTCGGAACATTCCGGTAAGCGGTCCTATGTTGCTGGCCAAAGCGAAAGACTTTGCATTCCTTTTGGACTTTCCCGACTTCTGCCCCGGAATTGGCTGGCTACATCTGTTCAAAGTGTGCCATGGCATTGTGTTCAAATTAATAGTTGGTGAGGCGGCCTCGGCAAGTGACCAAGACGTTGCCTCGTGGCTGAAAGCAAATCGAGACACCATTTCCAGCTATGTGGAGCGAGACGTTTCTAACGCGGACAAAACTGCGCTATTTTATCAGATGCTACCGGAAAAACTCGCGCCATGAAAGGCGACATGTTTACTAGTGGCAAACATAGCACAGTGCGCGTCACAGCACTTTTGTGCGCTAATATAGATGGCAGTGACTGGCGCGTGTCCTTTGTAATCGGCAAATCGAAGAAGTCGCGTTGCTTTCGAGGATATGTGCCTGTTCGTTACAGACATAATGACGCGCAATTTATTTGTAGAGTGGCAGCGTGAATTTCCACCAAGACATGCTCAAGAAAGGCAGGCGCATGCTGCTCATGGTCGAACATATCCGCGCACCATGTACAAGCCTCACTGACGCAGTAACCCCGCTGTTTCCTGCCGCCCAACACAACATCTAAGGTGCAACCGCTGGACTTGGGCATCATTCGAGCATTTCAAGAGTTATCATAGGCGCCGCATTGTGGAGCGCTTGCTCATGGCTGCTGACTGCCCCGCAGCCAAACCTGCCGCTCGGGTGACCTTGTATCAGCTTTGAAGATGCTGAAGGCATCGTGGACTGAGGTGAAGGCTACATGCGTGCAAAACTGTTTCTGCAAGGCCGGCTTCATTGACGGCCGAACCCGATGCCAAGCCTGAAGCCCCGAAGAGGATCCGCTAATTGGTGGCAGCGCGTCGTTGACTCGATTTGGGAGAGCGGGGACATCTGCTGGGATGACTTCATTACGGCCGATGATGATGTTGTCGACACTGCGAAGCCGTGCAATGGGTTGAGGGCATATTGAATGAAGGGCGCGGTAACAGCGATGCAGAGGAATTCGGATGACGACGACGAAACTTCAGAGCCAGCGACCACGAGCGTGCCTGTAGCAATGGCTACATAGACAGCCTCTGACTAGCTTGTAAGGCCGGCGGCGGAACACACGCCGCACCTTAAACTCGAGACGGTATTTATCACATCTGCGCTGTCGAAAGAGAACGTGTATTATGGGGCTTTTTTGCAAAAAATAATTTTTGATTTTAACTTGGAACTTTTTATAAGCTGTGTTTCATTTACAATGAGCTTTGGATATAACCAACGGATGCCACCTCACGCTCAGGTTCGTTATAAGCGGGCTCAACTGTACACGTTGCTGTACGGTAGGGTAAACGGGAGTCAAATAAGACCGCGTTGTATTGGTTGTGGTGTACACGTATCCCGAAGGAGTACGGCCACCAGCGTGGGTCCGGTCTTAGCGAGCCGCAGGGCACGCATTAACCGTCACCGTGGCGAGAACACGATACTGCTCAAAGTTGCAACACTTTATTGTGGCAACACCAAACGCAGTACAGCCCGTTGCAAAAAGGCGCGGCGGGAAAGCAAGTAGGCTTATCCACGCCACGGGCACAAAGTACTACACAGGGTGCCACGAGCACGTCTCCGCGGTAAAGGTGATCCACGGAGACACCGGGACAAAGGGCCCGGTTGCTCGAGCGAGGGCAAAGGCGCTCGCGTTGGCTTCGAAGGGAGACGGGTCGGCGTAGCTAGGCCACGCACTAGGGCACCGTACTGCCCTTCGGCCGTGAGTACGCAGCGGGGCAACAAAAGGTGAGCGTTCGCCTCGGGCGCGAGGCGCCGTCGGCGAAGTCCGACGAGCCCCGAGCGACGGGACTTGACGGACGGAAAATAATGCGTGGCTCACCGTTTGAAGTCCCGGAAAGTACTCACCGCTCCCGACGCAGCGCGCGAAAACCTCTCGGGAGGCTCCCCGCGCGCCGCCACAGTCAACATCCGCTACCGGGTGAGGGAGTTAAACGTCACTCCGCCCTTCCCAGGGCGGCAGACAGCAAAGGAGGGCAGACATGTCGGGACATGAGAATGGCAGAAAAGGCGGCAAAGCCCGCGCAAAGGCAGCGGGCCAGCCTCAATTCCCACATGGTCTGGCACTATAAGCGGTTATGTTGCAGGTGGTCTACACTGTAATACCGCATGGAACAAGTCACGATCCAGTGTGTTGGAGCAGAACAAAAACGTAAAACGAAAACAAAAACACACATACACACACACACACACAAAACACTATTTTTGATCATAACGAGAATGCCATGCGTCGCGGCCTTCGAAGTCGAATTGTCTGTTCGCTGCACCCATCGGTAGAACGTAGCTACGATGCGACCGTATTCTTCTCTAGCCACGCAAGCAATGCCAGCTCACTCGCGGCAATTCCTCTTGCATTACGGCTCGTGTCAGGCGCTTCAAGCCGTGTGCTCTGCCCGGAAATGCACTCGTGCTCGTGCCTGTTCCACAAGCTTCTCCTCCCACTTCGTCTTCCTCCTTACTCAAGACAATATCAAGTCACACCTTGCTGCTTCTGAGATGATGCTCACTCCCTGACACAAAGCATGAGCCTGCTTGAAAAAATTCTTAATTTGCTTTTGGAGGTAATAAATGCTAAGAATTAGAACTGCGCGAGTTGTTAGGAATTTATGAAATCATTACTTGTGGCCCTCTCTGAAAAACATGGAAAGAATGTGTTTAATAACTGTTTCTTTAGACGAGCCACTTGTTACCTTAACTTCAAATCTTGCATGCAAATAAAATTTCATGAACTGTTACAAAACATTGCCGTAGAACCTCAAAGTAATGAAGCGGGATATAACAGACTACTGGATATGACGAAGTGATTGTAATTCCCCTTGAAATTGCCATAGATGCCCATATATATAGAACCTTGTTTTAAGGAAGCGAAAGTTTCCTCACAATGAATATAACGGACCATTCTTTGTCCGCAGCGAGCATTTACTGACCATTCTGGTATACGTTGTAGGGGGTTTGTCTTATGTACAGCTGACGCAGAAGCCTAGCTAATATTCCAACCGACAACAATCGTACTGTGCATGATTAACGCCACCATCTATAGCTTGTCTCATTGCAGCTTCACGGGTTCGGACGAATAAGGTAACAGGCTAGGTCAACGAAACGACACATTATTGCTATACGTTAGAAATAGCGTGTAAATGTCGCGAGGAGATACTACAGAAACAAAGGTAGACGCCTTTAAAGGTAGACGCCTTTGAAGGTAGACGCCTCCTTGATCGTTGTCGTCCTCGGCTCGCAGGGGGTTGCAGGTTCGACCTCCTTCTTCCAAAGCCAGTGTCAGCGAGAGCGTGTAGCCGTCCGCAAGCTAGTTTGTTCACTGACCCTGTTTTTGTCTCTCTGACGAGAATAATACCTTTTCTTGCTGAGGAAGGGGAAACCCGTTCCGAGTGCCAGGGAAGGGGGAATCGCGAGTGCTGGCCACGGGGGTGTTCCATCCCCTCACAAGAGGCTTTATTGACTCTCGAAGGGACAGTCATGTCCCCGCAACCAGGCTGTCGCGCTGCCCCTATAAGGAAAGGGAGGCTGGGTGCACGGGCTCCCTCACATCCTCTCCCCTTAAGTAGGCCCCCCAGAACGACAGAGACTGCCACAGGGGAATATTTTGTTATTCATCATCGAGGAAGGCTAGGACGGAGGGTCCAAATCCGTGCCCTCCTGCGGTTGGCCCTTTGCCGTGGGTGCCGCCGGTTCCCCCACTTGT